TTTTTTTTTAAGTCAATAGTCCTTTTTACAGTTGTGGGCTTGGTGGCCAAGCCTTTGAACAGGAGTGAGGCTAAGGGTGACCCTGTTGTGATAGAGACCTGTATCTAGTTAGCATGATAACAAAGAAATTTGCATTTGAAAAGCAGCAACATCTCTATCATAACAAGGTCACCCTTAGCCTCACTCCTGTTCAAAGGCTTGGCTACCAAGCACTGTGGAAAGGACTATTAGGGGGAGTCCCTTATCCCATAATGCAACTCGGTACCGAATTTTATATAAACGAGAGCCAGTCTTATCTAAAACTTTAAAATCGTGTCCAGTTGTAAAGAAGCAGGATGTTAGGAATTACTTGGTTTGCTCTTCTTTCTACTTTAGCAAAGGTAAGTCATAGATTTATGTTGATAGCTCAGTATCAATTTTGTTTCATGCACCCGATCCGGCTTAGCGGAATTGTTAACAAGATGTTCCAAATCACAATTATTCAGAATTTAGCAACCCTCATAGGTTTGAGGAGTACCTTAAGTTACGAAATGTTAAACGATACAAACTGATATTCATTAACAAGTCGTGTAACTGCCTAAAATCACTTCATTTTTAAACTGAACGAAGCTAAAAGACGATTTTCATCGCTTTCCGAAACTGTGTCGTATTCTTATACCCGCTAAAAGACAGCGGTTAGCCATGCATCTTATAGTTGATAAAACCAAATTATCTTAGAAAACGCATATAAAATTCGGTACCGAGTTGCATTTTGGGATAGGGTACTTCCCCTAATTACTTTATTCGAAATGGTATTCTTTCTCGCTCACGCGCCGATAGATGAAGCGCCCTTTTTATTTCATTTCCCTCAGCAGTTCTGGTTTAACTGGTTAAACCACAAGTGTTCATTAGGAATCTAGGTTTTAAATATAATGGGTAACTTAATGATGTTGTGGTCTAAACACAACAAAGCAAATAGCTACAACGCCAATGTAAATTTTTCAACTGCTAAATCTTCGTTGGTCCCTGGCATTCGTCCACATTCAAGAAACAAGACAAGAAACATGGAGCGCCTTAGAAGTCCAGGAATGAGTGATTATTGTTTCTTTTCAAGTGATATATGAGGAAAGTTCTGGAATTTGATTTATCCGCGCGTGAGTGTCGGTGAGTGGATGTGTTTTACCTAAAGGGGCGATCGATAACCATCAATTAGCCCCAAAGCTAAACAGAAGTTATCGTTATCTTTAAAGTGCTCTTACGACAAACAGTCACGGTCCGCGTTGCCTCAGTCGATAAAAAAAGGGTTTTCTAGAATCTACAAAGGATTTAGGCAAGAGAGGATAAAGTATCCTCTCTCTCGATTTTGGCTCTTAGTCGCCTGCTTCGATATTTTGAACTAACCAGCATCATGCATCCCACGCACATTATAGCACCACGCGAACTGATTCAGCATCCTTCAGGTTATCTTAATTGTTTAAAAATTCTCTTGACATGATTTCTTGGCCAAAAGGCGACGGATAACTTTCAAACTTTAATAAGTAAAATGGTACTTCTTATCTTTTTATTATTATTTATATTCTTATCCCATAGATGCTTCGTCACCAATTGAATCGTTAGAGTTGCTTAATTTCCCAAAGCGACTATTGACATTGAAGACTTAATGAATCACAACACTGCATTAGTAATTATTATGAATGGCACTTTTATGATATGGCTGTTATTTTTATTCATGTACTCGAAGATAATTGCATTTTCTAAGATAATTGGGTTTTACCAACTATAAGATGTACGGCTACCCGCTGCGTCTTTCAGTGGGCACAAGGCGGCACAGAGTTTCGGAAAGCGATGAAAATCGCTTTTTAGCTTAGTTCAGTTTTAAAATGACGCGATTGGCTCACGGAGAAAGTAAATATATATATTTAAAAACAAATTAAAGCTATAATAGCAGGTGTTTATGTTCCCGGCGCACTGTTATGTCACGAAGACAAAGCATTATTGTTCGCTTATTATTGCTTAAGATTAATACTCCCGGTGGGAACATTTAAGGAGTTCTTATTTTATGATATGTGCAAATTGATACCGCTTTCCATTGGCGAGGTGTTTTGAGACAACATCGCCGCTGAAAAAATGTTTCCATCATCAGTAGCAAAAAGTATCCAGCGGAGAAGAATTTGTCGCTATCAATTGGTTACGATGGCGTGGGAAATGGCTTTAAGAATGTTAAATAGGGTCCAATTAGTGCAAAAGACATGCATACGAACAATGTTAATGAAACAATATTTTTGATAGGTTTTAAGAACAATGATAACAAAAGGACGGTATGTGTTCAAATAACAACCTTTCACCTCAGAAGCACCTTTTTTATGACAATTACATTTTAACTACAAACGATTACCCCAAGAAAATTATTTTCCTTAAGGATCAAACTACACTACCTTTTTACAATTGTTGGTAACACAGTCCTTAATGCTCTGAAATTTATACGTAGGCGATACATCACAATTAAGTGCATTTCTCGGTCAACACTACGACTAAATTCGTTTACAAGGCGCTCTTCGCATGACGGCGGTTCATGACAACAAGCAGCGACTTGTGAAAATTGAACTTGTATAAATAGAACTTGTATAAATAGCTATAAATAAATAGCTTTTAAATATTTAAACCGCAAGTGTTCATTAAGTATAGAAGTTTCGACACGCTTTGTCTTGCAGAACAAATAAAAAAAGCTGCCGCGCTTTAGAAGAGACTATTTCCATGATACCTTTAAACAATAGAGTTCAGACTGCTTTGGAATTGTTATACTCAGCGCCAAGCCAGAAGGCCTGCACATATTTTCGATGACAAGCAACTCTAAGTTCGTGACTCTTGAATATAGAGTAAGAGCTAACTTTTTGAAGTTATTACACCCTGAAACAATGTTTTTTATACTAGCGATACTCCTGACGTTGAGAGTAACGGTGAGTCATAATTGGATTTATGTTGATAGCTTAGAATTAACATTGTTTCACTAACCCAATCCCGCTTGGCGGAGTTCATTAACAAGATGATCCAACTCTTCATTGTTCGAAATTTTGCAGCCCTCCCAGGATGGCTAAAGTCGTAAATAAATGATATTCTTATTTTAGGAGTTATTACCCACACTTTAATTTTAACTTCAGACTTCGATCTTAACTGGCCCCACAATGCCAAGTAGCGGAGAGAATTGTGGTTTTAGATTTTAGTTTTACATTCATGATCGCACCAAACAAACGAATATTGCTGGTGTCAAAAGCTGAATGTGCTGAGTCTGCAGATTCTTAATGTTTTTGTATCCAAATTAAGTCATTTCGCGATCAATCATTCTACGACACCTAACGAATTTCAAAACTAGTATTAATTAAGTCGTGTAACTAATTAAAACCACGTCTTTTTTTAACGGAACAAAGCTGAAAAGTGATTTTCGTTGCTTTCCGGAACTCCATGTGTTCAGTTCTCGCTTTTCTCTTTGGCGATTGGAATTGCATTAATTCGGACTTGCTTACCATATCTTACGCATTTATTACCATTGAAAAGGCTATCAGTTCTACTGTTACAAGGTAATGGCCTTTTTAAGCTACGTTTTCGACATATTCAGTGGTGTGGAAAAGCATATTCGATGTCGTCAACCATTGCTTGATTTCAACGATGAATTCCGCTTCGCGAGCAATTTCCTCGTACAGAAGGGATAAACTGTCAGGTTAATTGGAATACGCATGCTCGAAAAATGTGCGACGGTTGTTAGGCAAACCCCTTACAGGCAAAAGTAGATATGTTAAAAGGTGTTTTTCTCATTTAATCACAAGTATAAAGTCACATCTGTCGAATTTGACCATCTAAAATCGAAGAAAGCTTGTTATTTTCCCTTTCGCTTACCACCCAAGATCTAAGAAAGCTGTGTCGACATCCCGTAGTAGTCTTTGCTTCAGTAGAGAGAAATAGTGGGCACTGCGCCGCTGTTTTGGTCATAATTTATCTCAATAAGGACAGTTTTAATCACCCCATATGGTCAAATATAGAGAAAGCTTTCAAGTTTGTCTTTATCACCTCATCCCGAAATTGCAAGAGATTACTATCTGGGAGCTCGAGATTGTATCATTTTAGCAGATTGCAAGTAGTTGCAGCTGGGACCGAACATGATTTAATTTCTCCCTTTCTATCGACACGTAACTTAGCCTCTATGTCTTGAGGCAGCTTGCTTTCCTCATGATAGAACAAAGGCAAGAAAAAGGTTTAGAGACTGCGTTGATTGGTTCCAGTATTTTGGGCCTTTATTTTTGATTGGATGCAGTAAATGCTCCAATGATGACTTCGCTGAATTGTATTGTGTTTGGCCCTATCCCTACTTTTCAGAGACTAGATGATAACCCATGAACTGTCTATTTATTTGTCTTTTTATTTATTTCATGATTCTTTGCCAATTTATTGAGCTAATGTACCCAAAATAACAACTCGGAACTTTTCCACCTTTTTTTTCTAGGTTTCTTTCGAGGTTTGCCAATACTAATAAACTAAATAGATTTAAGCACTCATTTTACAATAAAAACAAAACAAACAAAAAAAACAAAACAAAATAAAGCGAAACAAAAATCACAAAATTTGTTCAAATTTNGTTGGTTCACTTCACAACACTTACCATATACGCCTTGCCAGCTGTAAGCCAATATCAACGTATAAATTAACTTGCACTTGGCTAGGCGCATGAAAGTTTGTGTAATTTGAAGACGATAACTGATCGTAGTAAACCAAAAAAGGAATTGAACCATCGAACCATTTTATTAAACTCTCTTGGGTAATGCTTCGGTTCAAATTTAATTGAGAGGGCCTTGAACTCTGCTATTCATGGCCCTTCATTACCTCGTCAATTAATTTATATAACTGGGAAGGTTAAAAATTGAATCTCTTCAGTTCTGGCTTCACGACTCTTAATAGGCGTGCGCCTCGGGAATGTAACTGAATACATGATTATCTGTTTGTTTCAGTTAACAACTCGAAGGATAGGGTACTATCGTTGAGTACGACCCACCAGCAGACTGCTCCTACGAAGACTGACGCCGAAAAAGACAAGTCATCAGGTGAGGTGCCGACGGCTGAGAGCTCGTCTCGGGCACAAGGAACACAGAGCAAATATCTCAAGCTTTGGATTCCTGTGGGAGCTGTTGCGATTTTCATAGCAATAGCTATAATTGTTGCTGTTTACAAAGTGATGAGAGCAAGAAGGCGAAAACCAAACGACGACGGTGATCCTAACAGAACCAATACACTAGAACTTGCCGAAATTCAGGCATTTGTGCGAAAGGGTAAGAGATATCATATATCAAAAACCGTGCCGTTCAGATACATGTTTATGCACCCTAGTTTCGGGATGCTCTTGGCTTGATAACATTCCGAGCTGTTGATGTTTGTGAATACATGAAAATCCCATGTAGCGCTATTTACAGTTTTAGTATATTCAATGAGAGGCATTTGACCTTCATTAAATACCAAGAGGGAATACACATATTTTGACCTTTTTGTGGGTTTAAAAATACATGTCATACAAAAAATAGAAAAACACATCAAAAATCCTGTGCATTCCCCATTATTTCTTACAAGATTTTCAAGAATTGATTTTTCATATAATCTTTTGCAATACTGAATAACATTAGATAAGGTGTTTGAATTCCATTAACTACATGATTTTATTGCGGAGTAGCAGAGTGGATAGACAGCCACAGCAAAACTCACATTGAACTTTCTGGTTTCACAGGCACGACTCTGAAAAAGGGCACTATTTTGAACTCTGTTAATTTTAACCCCTTTCAACTCAAATATATCATTGTTATGTATACTCTGAAAATAATGTACTAAGCTATTCAGTGATACTTCAAGCAGCACACATGTACCTTGAGGATGGCTTCTACAATAAATATGCCTTGCACGAGAATCGAATATTTTCAAGCCCACATTACCTTTACAATAGATAGCAACTGCAGTACATCCTA